TACTACACTACTTCTCATATTCACATCATAGAGACGTTCCTCCTTGGAACGCTCATTCACAATCCAATCCAATAAAATTCAATCAAAACATCATTCGCACATTATTAACCATTCCTCTTATTCAAATTTCCATTCTGTGTTCCACTCTCTTAATTTTAAAGAACGTTCATCACTCAATAGATAGGGAAGAACATATTACAGTACACATACATCCACGTTTCTGAACAAAAGAAACGAACCATTTATCCACTTAATACGTTACGACACTTAATAATTTGAAGAAACTGATCTTAGAAGATATGGATAATACTTAGAAAGATTTTAAGTATAAAGACTCCAGGTAGAATCCAAAAGATAAAGCCAGTAAGAAAATATTTAGATAAACAACCAAATATGATTGAATTCAGAAAACAACACTGCCAGTCAAAGACCGAACGTTAATTAACAATTTGGACGAACGCCATGTACGTTCGCTCAAGAAGCAATGATAAGACGAGCGTTCGATTATAAAGCCGAACACTGCTTAGGACGAACGTCAGGTCAATGACCGAGCACCAAATAGAACGAACGCGCATTTAAACGAACGTTCGGTGTCAGACCGAACGCTAACTAGGACGAACGCTCAATCTAAGACCGAGAGCTCATTTGGACGAACGCTCAGTCTAATACTAAGCGCTGCTTATGACGAACGCTGGAAACAAAACCGAGCGTTCTAAATACTCTTCAATTTATTTTAAATGGTGGGACACGCTAAGCTGAGCCGAACGCTCAAAACTAGCTCTTCACACAAATAACGCTCGTTCTCACTCAGAATCCTCTCCAAATGAAAGAATTCTTATTCTAAGTTATTTTCCAGGGAAACCGAACGGTATAAGACCGTTCGATGACGAGCGTACATCATCAACCAGAAAATATCAGATTTTCCAGATTTTTCATTCACATTAACTTCAAAATTTTCATACGATCCATAACTTAGAATTTAGCTTTAACATAAATCTCATACATTACAGAATTCATATTATCATTTCATCAATACAGAATCTTCCATTTTCCAGTTTCAAACATATCATCATCACTCCGGTTTTAACATCCCAAATATAGTAATTACCATAATCAGAATTAATACATTAATCATATAAAACAGTGCAGTCTTACAATTCTGAACTAGCGTCTAATTGCCGAACGGCATAAACATAAAGAAATAACTACACGCTTAACAAGCAAGAGTTCAGGGGACGGTCTTACAAAACTATAACCGATCGTTCAAAGAACACAAATAAAAACTAACAACAAACCTCGCGAGCGCTCTAAGCTCTGCTTAACTTCTACCTCACCAGGTTAGCGTTCTTCCAAAATTTAATCTCTAGCAGTCTTAGTGCGCACCTCCATCTGCTCACATCCACACGGATGATCATTGCAAAATAGGACGAACGACATATAGAAAGCGACAACACAAGGAAACGAAAGGGTAAGCTTATATAATTTAAACATACATTAAATATAAATAAACATATCATTCCACGCAACCTCGTGTAACATTATGACTATAATATATATATCATATATATAATATATAATTTATGACGACCGTCCGGACTGTATGAATCTGTTAGCTACAGCGTCTGCACCCGGTGAGTGTAGTAGCTGGGATAACCTCAACAGCTGCCACCGAGGTTAACCGTCTTAGTCGCCCATGTTACTTATGACTAGGACCTCCTGCCATTCCCACACTGAACTACTCCCTCTACTTGAGAATGAGTGCACGGAATATCAGGATGGACCAAGCCGGCTTAGCTTATTCCACAGTCATACTTTACCAAATTTATATTCAAATATATATATAGGAGACGTCCTCCATGGAACGCTCGTTCAAATTCCTACGATAGAATCACTCAATATAGTGTTCGCAAGGTAAGATCTTATAATTATCATCATTATCATATTTAACTTAAGAGCATAAAAGGACGAACGTTCGTCCTTTGAAGAAATAGGGACGAACGTCTAAAATAAGTACTGGATGGACGAACGTGAACTCCTGTTGGGTCAGTTAAATGAAAACGGATCATTTGAAGGAGTACTGTACTTAGAAAAATTCATAATAAGATCTGAACCAGATTAAATAGGAAGGATGGTTAATAATACTTAGAAATTTTTTTGAAGGAATTGCACATGGAAGTCCGATACTAGTATTAGAACGAACGTAAGAATGTGAATATTCAAATACTTGAACGAACGCTATTTACGTTCGGCAGGGAAAATATCGAACGTTCGGTTTAAGACCGAACTCTTTATTAAAGCGGACGCTCGGTATATGACCGAGCACAATCATGACGAACGCTTGGCAAAAGGCCGAGCGCTCTTTAGGACGAACGCTCATATGGAACCGAGCTCTCTTTAGGACGAACGCTCAATATTAAACCGAGCGCTCTTTAGGACGAACGTTCGACATGAGGCCGAACGCTATTAAGGACGAACGTTCGACATAAGGTCCGAACGTTCTTATTTCAGCATTGTTTAAGTTAAGGCATACGACACTCATGGGAGCCGAACGCTCAACATAGTAACTCATAAAAACGCTCGCGTCTCACCACCGAATTCCTTCCCAAATGAAAAATTCAATTCTAAGTCTTTGCAGGGAACCGACGTATAAGACCGTACAGTGACGATCGTCATTATCAAAGGGAAGATTTAAAGTTCAGATTTTTCAAACTTAACAAAATTTCCAGATTTCAAATTTATACTTTATAACTTTCATTCCAGGTTAATTGACCTTAAATAATCATCATATACGATCTCAACATTTAATTCATTCCAACCATACAATAACCATACTCAAGTCTACGGTAATCGAATCACATGCCTTTCAATCAAATCAACAACAATATAATACATACAAGCAGTGCTGTCATGACAGTCAATCCAAACCAGAATCATATCAGATATCAGTGAACATCCATAACAGCTCATATAGATTACAGTTCGTTCATGCAACTCAGATCGTAACATACAGTATAAATTAAACATATAAGCTTCCCTTACCCGCGATTGGAAAATCAAGCTTGTCCTAGATGTGAATGTGACTTCGTCCCACTACGCTTTTCTTACGTTCTTGACTTTTCCAAAATAAAATCTAACCATGAACACGGAACACTTAGAATATATGCTTGCATGCAACTAAAACCCTATTTTTCCAGAACCCTAAGGACGAGCTACGGAAAGGGGACTTACCAGTTTCCAGTTCTTGAAGCTGTTCGGTCCAAAAGGAAGCTCACAGCTGGACGAACGTTCCTACGGTGCTGTAAGTTGATCGGAGAAGAAGGTAAGGAGTTATCGTAGAGAGAAGGTGACTGGTTCTAGAGAGAAGTTGGAAAAAATGAAAGATTTTAGGTTCTGGGAAGACGAAGTGTGCGTGCAAGTGAGAGAGAGAGTTTCAAACTCAGATTTTGTGGATTTCCACGTCAAAACGGACGAGCGTCTCCCATCCTGCCACTGCACACCAAACCCCTGCTTTGGAAGCTTCTCCCGCGACACGTGGCGTGCGCATGCAAAGATGGTGCGGTTTTAATGTTTCCAGAGAATGAGTTTTTTTTTTTTGGGCTCAGCTTTCCGTGCACAGCAGAGATGAAATCAGAGTTGGGAGTGGGTTTTTAAGGGGATTAAACATTGATTGTGGTGCAAATTAATTTGATTTGACGCAGAATTATTATTGCTAATTATAGAGGGTTTTACAGGTTCCAAGTATTATCTTCCAAATCATACAGAATTCAATCATATTCCAAATCATACATCTCATTCTTTGCATACGGTTCAAACAACATTCATAATATACATCCAGTGCAACATACTTATTCAGGCACACTCAAAATTCATATATTTCATACGTTTACCAACCAGTACACTTCATTACTGTCATAGACATCAACCAGTTTAAATTAAATTACTAAAGCTTCCCTACCTGTCTAGCAGTGCACTTCCAAATGCTTATGTTTCTCTCGTGCTCTCACGGCTTTCTATCCAGAAATTCACCCCCCGATTTCCACTAAATCTAAGATACCAAAATCACATACAGTTCAGACCTATAATTCATTCATGCAACCAGAATTTGGTTTGCAGAAACAGAAGAAGAAAACGTTAAGGGAAGAGAACTTACCCGCCACAGAATTCTAACTTGTTCGGTTCTAATGAAAGCTTACAACACCGAGAATTATTCTACGGTTTCTGAAATGGAAGCAGAGATGTTGGTAATGAGTGATCTTAGAGAGAAGATGAAAGAGTTTAGAGAGAAGGCAGAGATGAAGAAAGGCTAGAGTTTCGTGAGGAAGAAGGTGATTGCATGCAGAGAATGGGAAGAGTTTTTTTCTAAAAATTCACTTCCTTCCTTCACAGAAACTAACTCCCATTCTCCACACACCACTTGTCTTCCACTAACGTTCTCAGAGTGCTTTAACCGTGACACTTGGCAGACGCATGCAGTGGGAGTGTGAGTGGGTTTTGACGTGGCACGGTGCATTAATGGTGTGATCAGAGAATGGATTAATGTGTATTAATTTATCAGGTTCTCACAATGGTGGATATCACATGTTTACACAATTTCAAAATATTTGAATGCACATTAGTATTTAAAAATTAAAATAAAGGACTAACAATATATTAAAAACTTATTGTCTACGTCATTACAGGTGAGAGAATGAGATGAAAGGATTTTATTAAACCACTAAATTCTCTCAGAGTGTGGTAAAAAAATTTCAAGGTACTACTTTGATTCTTATATGATTTATTTAAATCATACATTAGTAGGTCCCTCAATTTAAAATAGCATTAGTGAAGTATCTTTCATCTACACAAACCGTTTGCTTAATGAAACGCTAAAAAAGCACATAAATGCAATTAAAATTTCATCAAATTTGTCACCGATCCTTTGAACTCTCGGTAACAAACATTATAATTGATGACAGAAGTGAAAAATTCCAGAAAATATTGAAGCAAGTCTACCAAACACGTGAAAGTGAAACACTGGACTTGATGCCAGCAAATGCTATCATTAACTCGTAATTGAGTGTCAGATTCAATTAGCTTATATCCTCCCCCCACTTAAATCTATACACAGCCTCCATGGTTAGAACAGAAAATAAACAAATTTGGACTAAGAAAGGGAGTTACCATAAGCACAAGATTTTGATCAACGACAATACAAAGGGACCTGCACCAAGGTGGCAACTCCATACCAAATAGGTTGAAACTGGGGGACTCATCTCTTATGTATTCAAAAAAATGCCAGAACATCAGAAGAATAGTCCTTAATTCTAATAGACCAGACAAATTTCATGCCCTCTCAAATTATAAGGAGAAATGAAGCAGTGAATTCTCCCCCAAAAAATGGCACCAATCAGCCTTGACTAACTTCCTTCTCTTTTGCCTTGCATACATCTTCCGCAGTCTTGATAAACTTTTTGGTCAAATCATCAACCTGTAAGAAGGAAATATCAGAAACTAAACTACCAAAGCTGTGGAACTCGGTAATCTCATAAGTTGCAATAACCATATGTAAGTTACTTCTTTCTCCAGTCTTTTTATGTCATCTTTGGGGAGACTTGAATACAACTTCTTTATCGCATCCATTGCCTAACAAATAAAAAAGTTGAATCAGTTTAAAGAAAGCTATGGCAAACTTTTACGGCAAGAGAGAATTCCAGTTTTTTCCATAATTACTCTTTTCGCAATCCCTTATATTATTGAAAGGTAAACCTTCCGATAAATGAAGAAATACCAAAGCCACACCAAACCTTTTGTCGAGCTCTTCTAATACTTTGACGAGCATCTTCACATGATTTAGCAACCAACTTAGTCATAGCCTGAAACAAATGTCAAACAGAAGGATATAGCAGCATGATAAATCTGTAAACAATAACTAAATGGAGTGTAACGAGTTTACCTGCATATGTTCCTTGGTCAATCTGGTCATTTCACGGTGAAGTAAATTAGTTAATTGATATTGAGCTTGAAAGTCAAATTCTTTAATAGGTACTATATTATCCAACCAAATTCACTCTGGCAGGCATGAGTAACTGAATGTCAATAGAATATGTGCTTACGGTGGAATAACAGCAATCAATCTTTCACCATCTGATTTCGGATTTAAGCCCAATGGAGACGAAACGATGGCATTCTCTAATTGTTTAAGTGTCTGCAGAAGTTAGGAATACCATATTAAAAAGTAATACTAGTTCAGTACTAAGCATTCTAAAAAATAGAAATAACAAACCCAACTTCTAAGGTAATGTACCTCTGGATCATATGGATTAACAGACAAGGTTTTTGGATCTAGGACTGAAACAACAGCAAGCCGATTCAAAGGCATCTTCAAACCACTAGTTTCAACAATAATATGATCAAGCATTCCTGTAGAGGCATGCGTGCAATTATCATGTTTGAGTACTATCTATCAAGGGACACAGATGATCTATAAACAATTATGGTTAACGCTAATATACCTGGGGATGCCCTTCCTGTTCGTAGCTTGCTTAGTTCTGCTGATAATGCAGCCATTGCAGCCTCCATCTGTGAGACAGCGTTTGCCTTGATGGTAGGACCAACGTTTGGTGGAACTTCAATTGTACTAACACCCCCTTCATCCCCTAAAATGTACAAAGCGCTGATAATTAAAGACAATGCTTAACCACCAAGAAACTGTTATGAACCACAAGAATACAACTTCGCCTTCACTGATGTTATTTCATAAACACCCTGTGGGCACTACATTGACTCACTAAACCAAATAGCTACAGGAATATCTTTCAAACAAGAAAAAAAAGAGCAACCAAATTCTGAAGAGAAAATTCAACAAACGACATATCCACACCAGCTGGTCAAAAGAAATGGAAACAATTGTAACATCTCTCCATCAGCACATATTGGCATGGCCACCAATAAAACGAAGTGCAACCACAACAGAATGGACAACCCAGAAGAAGGAAACTACCGAGGCAGAGGTACTCCCTACACCTTGCAACTAAAATTGCCACAGACACAACCAAAAACCAAGGGGAAGTAGTCACGAACACGATAAAGAAAAGTTTGGATCAATGGCAATCACCAAAATCAATTAAAGGTCCAATAAAAGCACTCTGAAATAGAGCTGAACCATCAATGGAGACAACCTCTTTCACTCTTCAAAAGGGGTGTCACTGCCAGTAGCAACCAAACCATTCTTCCAATAGACCCCACAATAGTGAGAAAACCCCAATGTATGAAGAAATTATCCAAAATTAACAGCCACTACAGCGGAACATAATGTAAAATAAACATTACATGTTCGATGTGATCTTAGTATTAGATCTTCATCAGAGTGTGCATGAGTATAGCTTCCAGGGAGATAAAAACCATTGACTAGAGCAAAGATGAAGAGTTTTCTCAACTCCATTTTTTTCAAACTTCAAAGCAATAAAACAGCAGATGCAGAAAAACTTTTCTGTAAATCTTCTAACAAGTTAAACCCAACACCAACACCTTGGTAACAAAACACATAATTTCTTTTGACAATATACTGAAGTTGAGAAAGAGGGAGAGATTGCAACGCTAGATGATTCTTGTGTTTTTAATGTGAGGCAAAAATTAAGATCAAACCTTTAGAGAAGAGAATGACTGAAAATGAGCAAAAGGTGTTCACTGCAGTGAAAAAAAAACATCTTCAAGGCATGTGGCATCACTACTACATCATATTAGAATTCATGGCTCAATGTTGAGAAGTGAAAAATGATAGACTGAGATTAAGATGTGCATTGATTAATAAAAAGTGATTACAAAGAACCCTTGTATAAGCAACAAACTAAATATTTTACCAACAAACTCCTGATTCGTGCATCCAATTCATAAAACAAATCTGGGAAATTTAAGAAACTGTCCCAAATTTCTCTTATTTTTCATTTTCAAGAACTTTCATAGTTTCATTCAGTTTTCAAAAATATTTCTCATCTACAAGCAACCTATAATTTATGCATCATGCTTGAAATTTAAACTAAATTCCCATGAAAAACACGAATCAGCACCAACAAAATTCACTAAGAACAGAAAATCAAAATCCAAGGAGTAGAGTGTTTTTATCACTCAATGGAGCAAATGTAGGTGCAATTCTTTAAGCACATTTGGTGCTATTCTCCAGTCAAAATTAAAACAACTCATTATTCATCATTGACATTAGAAGTTCCTAGAATTTAGATTCGAGCTTAATTCAACCTCAAAACTAGCCCATGAGGTGAGAATAAACCCCACTTATATACCCGAATTTAGACATATCACTAAGATCTCTAACACACCCTCCATGTTGGTAACTAATAATTTCAAACATGAAGTTTGTGGAACAAACGTGTGCAAGTGGTCTGGCAATGGATGGTCTAACAACAAGCAGGATAGACTTTTTGATATAACATTACATATCATTAGTCAATGTGAGATATCCAATAAATGTTGACATTAATAGATAATCGAAGGCTAATATACTTTTAGTCTTTTATCTTACTTTTAAGGTTCATTTTGCCCTTTATCTCTAAAAAAACTTATTTCGCTCATTTATCTTTAAAATTTGGATGACTTTGGACCTTCTGAAATGGTAGTCCTTTTGGATTTTTGCACATGATTTTGAACCCTTTTTTTATTGATTCGATATATAAAAATCACTAGATTCCCACACATGAAAACAATAAAACACAACTGGTGTTCAAACCAAATAATAGCTATAACAAGGTGAAAAATTGAGTCTAACGAGCATCCGGAAAATTAAAGGAATAAGATCATTTTCTGATTATTTGTAAATCTCAATTGTCACACAAACTTTACATTGTTTATTATCCTTTCTGGTTCAAACATCAATTGGATTTCATAGTTTTCATACAAGTGAATTTTAATGAGACAAGTTTATAAGTTAGAGTAGTAAAAAAATTGTTTAATAATTGAAGTCAATTACTATTTCGGAAGGTTCAAATTATTCCTAAATTAAAATATAAAGGACCACAATAAATCTTAAAAAAAAGATAAATAACCAAAAATATAATTTAATCATTATTTATTATAAGACTTTTTAAAGTAAATCATCATTATAAGAACTAGCTAAAACCCAAATTTTAGATGAAAAACAACACTAAAATCACCTACCAAACTGCCTCTACAAGTCCAAATTCAACACCCTTCCTTCCACTAAATCATCAAACTCAAAACTAAAAACAAAAGGGTATAAGAAAAAACATTACTTTTCCTTAGAGAAGCAAAGACGTACTTGACTTTCGCCCTTTGGCGTAGGCTCTGCGACTTTCCGCAAAAAAATTAGGCTCGGCCGGAATGGTGAACACTCTGCTGCTATCACACATTTGAATGCTAGACACGTCACGAGCACAAACAACACGGGAGGCTCGGACCCACAACATGTTTCGATACGAGAATGCGCGTCTAACGTAACCAGACATCGCCGTGTTCACGAACGCTTCTTTGATTCTTGTTAAATTCAGTGTCTGCCAATAATTGATAACGAATGTAACGCTACACAGGAATCAATTTCTTACAAATATTGTGAAATTAAATTATGGAAAGTGGATATCTGTGTGAAGAGAGAGAGAAAATCGCTAACGTTGATGATCTGATTCCAATGATCGAAACGATGACTTGTCTCTGTAGCTTCTGCGTTTCGGGATTGGTTTTAGGGTTTATGGGATTTTAGGGATTATGGGGTTTTGCAGAGCGGTATTGAAATGGGCTAGCCGGCCGGCCGGCCGGCCATTGCCTCGGCCCAAAATCTATAAGGATTTCTTTCTGTAACCCTTATTTTTCTTATGCACCCTCATAAATATTAAAATTCCCCTCTTATCCTTAAAAATCGACTTCAATATTGTGTATAATATATATAGATTATTTTTTTTCATGAAGAAAACTTTTATGCATTGTAGAATCTGAAAGTTTGTTTTACTTTTCGGATTGTGTAAAAAAGTGTTTTTAATGTAAAGAATCATTTCCAAATTGTAAAGTTTGATAGTCTTTTTCGAATTACATAATACAAAACATAAAATCATCTACAACGCAACACATAGATAAAGATTACAGCTACAAAAAAAGATGTTGTGATGACAAGAGGACAACAACAATAAAAGATGTTAGCGACAAAATATAACGATAGCAAAGGCAGGCGGCAATTTGATGTTTTAACACCCGTATGGTGCACATGAAAACTATGAAGGGTTAAAAAAAATTTCTGGTCCCTTAATTTAAATCATAGCAATAATTAATAAAATAAAAATACTATTTGATTACATGAAGAAAATTACAAACTTCAAAAAATCCAAAGCAAATGATGGAATATGTAATAACTTAGAAAATAGAATATTAAAGTTGATAAATGTTTTAAAATAATAAGATCGAGTATTTTAGTGTTAAAATAATTCAAAAATATAATATAAATTCATAAACACGTCTCGTCATCTAAGACATACGTCATCTACCTAAAACTCATTCTCTAAGTTCTCTCTCCATTCTCTCTAAGATTTCTAACTTCTGAGACATTTGTTCGAAGATCAAGAGATGCCTAGGAGATCACGACAATGAGTCCTCCATTCTCTACCAACCAGTCTTCCATATAGAATAAGCCAATTTTTACTCTTTTTATTTAGTTTTCAGTTTAAGACACATGCAAAAGGGGATTTCTCACATGTGTCATTCAACCTTTCTTGTTAGTTATTTGTCAATCAGTAGTCCTAACGGCATACACTGATCATCATTTTGTTGTTTGTAGACACAGTTAGTATTCTTTGATATGTGAGAATTGTTTGGGGTTCTTTAGGATCGTTTGGTCTTTTAACAGGTCAGGGAAGCTAATATTTGCTTTAATTTCATATTAAGAAGTATGTAATCATGTTTGATACAGTTTGATATGTATACATGGTGGAATCTATTACAATTTATATGAATTTTGTATCTTGATGAGTGAATGTTTGCCTATTGATGCTTGCTTGGACATGTGATGTTGTTGTTTTGGAGTTTTATGAAGTATACATTTGTTGTGGAGTTCAAAGTAGTAAAAAGGGAGTGTTGTTGGGTTTGTTTTGGTCTAAATTGGGGTTTTGGTAGGTGAATTTTTATAAGAGTGATTTTGGAACGAAAATTGAGGTTAGTGAGTTGGTTTTAGATCATTTTAAACTTGTCTAGAACTTCAAATAACAATAATATAATCTTAAATTCGGAAGTAACAAATAGGTAGAGCTATAGGTTAATTTTTATCTAAAAATGAGCTTTTGATATGTGAGATTTTGAGATAGGGGTTGAATGGAAAAACCTGCAGCATAAGGTCTATTTCTAGGTTATTTAAAACTTGTTTGGACTCTTAATTCAAGAAATAAGTTTGGTAATGTGTAAAAATATGATATCTTAGTTTTTGGTATGTTGGTATGGGTTAGTGCAATTAAGTTATGGCCAAAAGATCAAAATGGTATCTTTTTTTGAGTATAAACATGTTTTGGAATCAATTTTTGTTGGAAAAACTGACATAATCACGAACAAAATTTCCTGAGGCGTGTGGATTCACTGTCCTTAAGGACTTATCCGCGGTGTATTGCGCAAGTCCCCCAGGATACAACAGGAACTTCTCAGAATATCTCTGAGGATCTCAGAACTAGCAAGGATATCTAAAAAGAGTATAAAATAAACCCAAAATAATTTTAGAAGAGGAAAAGAAGAAAGGGGAAGGAGAGAAGAGTGCTTTTTTGGTGTGTTTTGGAATGGGGGAAAAGTTCTCTATTTATAGAGCTAGGAAAGAATAAAATCAATAAAACACAATAAAAGTCATTAAATATTTTACCGTTGGAGCACTTAATAAAATCAATTTAAACGTTATTGGCAATTAAAGTTTTGACCGTTGCAATCCAACGTTTTCTTTTGCAATAATCTAACATTATTACAACAATCCCCTACTTATTGCAAAAGAAAGAAAAAACAAGAAACTTTTATTCTGGGT